GAGAGAGAGAGAGAGAGAGAGAGAGAGAGAGAGAGAGAGAGAGAGAGAGAGAAGGCAGCCATAGCTGCGGTAGAGTTTGTGGTGGGCAGCATTAGGAGTGGGACAAGAGTATAGTAGTGGGTGTATTCACAAGTAGTAGAGAGTGAGAGTGCATGCAAGTAGAGAGAGAGAAGACACAGGGAGGTTGCAGACAGAGAAGACCAAGAAAAAGAGAGAAGAGGGAGGAGGAGTGAGAGAGTTGCATAGTGCTCGGATGATGATACTGGATACTGGTTACTTGGCATTGCGCGGTTGAGGGCTTGTGACTGCAACTCTTAATGGCTCATGTCATCATATGTTATAATTGTACGATTTTTTTGAGCTGCACTAACCTGGTCTTCAACTCTCTGGCCTGGATTTCGTGTCATCTGCAATTGTGTGAGTGTGAGCTCAAGGTGAAAAAAGAAAAAGAAAAAAAGAAGGGTGACGAACTGACAGGCTCATTGCTATAAGTTGTTAGCCTTGCAGATGGTAGGCTTGCAAATGTCAGCCTTAAATGGATAATAATGACTGGTTAAGTCTCGAGTCTCGACTGTTAACAGTGTTAAATTTAAACTCCAAGCGGAAAACTGACAAGTGTTAACCCTCAAACTGACAAGTGTTAACCCTCTGAACTGTGGAGCTCAAACTGACAGCTGTGGAGTTTTCAATCCTAAACTTGAAAGAAAAAAAATGGTTATCCTTTCGAGTGACGTTCCGCTTGCTTTTTTTCCTGGCAAGCAACGCAGCGCGCAGCGCTGGTCTGGTTGTGTACACAGTCAGCAGACAGGAAGGAGCCTAAATCGATGGACTCGAAAGAGCTCATCGCATACTTGAGCGGTACGAATCCGTCGGCGGTCGGATGTGACTAAGTAAGCAGTCGTTGGCGGCTTCGACATCTACTGACTTCGTCTTACCCTTTGGAAATCGATTAACTTATTCCTTGAGCAGAGTAAAAACAACTGACTTCGACATCTACTGACTCCATCTTACCATTTGGAAATCGATTAAGTTATTCCTTGAGCAGAGGAAATCGATTAAGTTATTCCAATGAGAAAGAGTAATAAGTGGTTTAGAAACTTTAGATTAGATTAAAAGTTCATTAAACTGAGAACAAACTGTGAAGATTAAACAACAGGCAAATGATAACCGGGGGAAGTGTGACCATGGTTTGGTGATTGGATGGTGGTAAATCAGGTTGGGAATTACGGAGCGAGAGCTGCAGACGATGAGATGGTCGGAATTGGTAGATAGTGTGGTGCAGTTGCAGAAGCGACAGCGCCTATGTATTTTCCGGGAACTTTCTGCTCATGATATCGTCAGCCGGATCATGAGGAGGGATAATTACCTAATTGCAATGTTGAATAAAGGGATTTTGGCGCTAAAGATCCCTGGCTGGATACCTGGGGCGACACCCGTTTCCTCGTCAGGTAATCGGGAGCATCAGGCTCGGGCCAAAAAGTATGTTGTCTTGACGAAGACCATGGAGTGGAGCTTGAACTGGTGCATCTTGCATAACGTGTTCGACAGGTAGGTAGAGGTCATCGTAGAATATCTTTGCAATGACTAAGAAAAATGTCGCGCCATTCTTCTCACCCAAAAACACACCATCATCATAATCCACCTACCTCCCCACACACAAGAGAGAGAGAGAGAGAGAGAGAGAGAGAGAGAGAGAGAGAGAGAGAGAGAGAGAGAGAGAGAGAGAGAGAGAGAGANAGAGAGAGTGTCTTTGGTCTGGGACAGACTAAACAACAAGAAATGGGGACACGTGTGTGTGTGCGTGTGTGTGAGAGAGAGAGAGAGAGAGAGAGAGAGAGAGAGAGAGAGAGAGAGAGAGAGAGAGAGCTGTAACTTCTGGCTATGCAGATATAACATTTGAAACATTTTCATTGTGTAGTGCATCATGTATTGTATCACACTGTATAAAGTACTGTAAACTATTTTAGTATTTTTAGCATTCATAGAGTAAATTTAAATGACCTGTTTGAGCCAAGTATTTTTAAACTTTTCATTTCCAGGGGTGTTATTTTGAGTGTATAAGATGACACAGGATGTTTGGTTTCGTTTTGTTTCTTTGGGTTGCGTTTCTATTTTTAGTGAATACACATTGGCTGATGGAAAACATCCTGTTTCATTTTGTCGAATGCCTGCGTTCTCAAGTCTGATGAAGATCAGGTTCGTTGGTTGATTGACGGGTGTGCGCACACGGGATATTTCCTCAACATCCGTATGTGACCTTACTAACGTCCAAATTCATTGCGAAGTCTGCTGTAGTGAGCAGGCAGGCTCTGAAGTGGGATTGTTGCATCTCACAGTGCATGCCTAGGCTACCAGAGTGGCCCGGGACCACTTGCCCGGCCGGGCCAAAAAAAATAAAATTATTTTTTTATGTTAAAATTGGTCAAGAATTCCGATGTGACCCTGAGGCAAAAGTTGTTCAGTTTATTTTTCTGCGTAACGTTTTTTTTTTTTTTTTTTGAACTTTTTTTCAGTTTTTGTTCTCTTTTGTTTTTGTTTTTTCTTGTTTTTTTTTGTGTTTTTTTTTTTTTTTTGGCTTTTTTTTTGTTTGCTTGCTGCTGGGACCTTTTCTGGTCCCCTTGCACGGCAGGGCCGCCCGGGCAAACAAGGCGTGACCCCCGTGACCCGGCTGGCGGGTAGCGTATCGTAGCCTGCCTACCAACCTACCAACTCGAGGTTCTGAATCTTCCGATGGTGGTTGATGTCAACGTTTTGCGTCTTGTGTGGTGAGCAGGACTTTCTTGGTGAGAAAGGACTTCCTTAGCAATCCCGATGCGCTGAAGAAGCGGTTCATGACGGTCGGATTGTGCATGCTCTGCATCTCCCCTTTCTTGTTGATCTTTATGCTGCTTTACTTCTTCATGCGGAACGCCGAACAATTCTACAACCACCCAGGAACCGTTGCTTCTCGGCGGTGGTCCAACCTTGCAAAATGGAAGCTGAGGGAGTTTAATGAGGTTCGTTTAACTTCGTTGCGCTATCCGAGGCGCTCGTACTCAGGTCATAGGCCAGTCCAAGCTCATGTTTGATTCTATGAATGCTCAATGCCCGTGTCAATGAATGCTCAATGAACGCTCAATGAACGCTCAATGAATGCTCAATGAATGTGCATTCTTGTTCACGCGCAATGTTTCGTTTCTTTCACGCAGAATTGCTCTCTCTCTCTCTCTCTCTCTCTCTCTCTCTCTCTCTCTCTCTCTCTCTCTCTCTCTCTCTCGCTCTCTTTGCAAGGCGGATGATGTTAAATTGTCGTAAATGCTCACGTTTCAATGCAATTCCATTTCTCGAGTTATGGGAATTGTCGTTCTTGCACAGGGAGGAGGTGCCATGCCAATCTTCATTTTCTCTGTATCGTTCCAATTTTAACGGATGTTCCGCAGTTCCTGTTTGCTTTTTTTTCGATGCAATGTCCTTTTTAAAAAAATGAAGTTTTTTTTTTTTTGCAATGTCCATGCAATTTCCATTTCCCGTAATAAGGAGGAGGAGAAACTTTTTTTGCAATGTCCATGCTTAAATTTCGTTGTATCGTCAGGGTCTCACATAACGCTGTTCCTGCTGGGCCCAGCCTGGTGTGTTTTTTGGTAGGCGCCTGCTGGGTGTTCTTCCTCCCTCCCTCGCCCTCCTCCCCCGCCCCCCCTCCCCCCTCGCCCCCCGGCCCCCCCTTCCCAACCTTGGTGTTTGTGCACAGATTCACGCTGTTGGTAGGCTGATGCGCTTTGTCAACCACGCATTGTTGGGGCAGGTTTTGTCTTTTATTTTATTTTATTTTGTTTCTTTTTTTCTGTTTTTGTACCCTGCGTGTTGCTGAGATGCTTCGTCCGGTTTGTTTGGAGTGTGCACATAGTGCTCAACAACGTTGCGCATAGTGTTCGCGTGCAGCTGGTGGATATGCTCAGATACACAGTGTCACCCGGCCCACCGCACATGGTACCACCTAGCCATGCCAAGGGCCCAGTTGTGCCTAATGTGTCCTTTTTTGGGGACCGTCTCTTTCTTTTTGTGGCCGTGTGTGTGTTAGTGCCGTCCAGTCCACATAGTATGACCCACCTCACATGGCTCGATCGAGCCCACATAGTACCACCCCACCCCACACAGCTGCTTGTCCACAACCAAACCACCCAAATGGTACCACCCAACCCACATAATATGGGCTGCTGGTGCTGTCGTGTGCTTTTTTTTTTTCATGCTTTCTGCAAGCTGCCCGCGTACACGTTTGTGTGTGTGTGTGTGTGTGTGTGTGTGTGTGTGTGTGTGTGTGTGTGTGTGTGTGTGTGTGTGTGTGTGTGAAGTGCGGAGCGGTTCTGCTGCACCCAATCAATGTAACGCTGCATCCAACTTATCTGGTAGCACACAGAACCGACATAATTATGTGCATCTAATGGACATAACACTGCAGCCAACCTGCATGGCACCCAAAAGTTGTGGTGCTGTCATGTGCTCTTTTTTTTCATGCTTTCTGCAAGCTGCGCGCGTGTGCGTGCATGTGTGTGTGTGTGTGTGTGTGTGTGTGTGTGTGTGTGTGAAGTGCGGAGTGGTTCTGCTGCACCCAATCGATGTAATGCTGCATCCGACTTATATATGGTAGCACACGCAACCGACATAATTATGTGCAATACCTAATGGACATAACACTACAGCCAACCTGCATGGCGCCAAAAAAATGTGCTGCGTAGGGAAGGTGGCCCGACATTTTTTTTTCTGTTGTGCAGCAAGCGAATCTGTGATCGGCAATCACTTGTATCCTGTAATTACTAACCATTAAGGAAAGCTATCTTCAAAAGTGTATTGTTGACCCCTAGCTTTGACCCGTACAGCCCTCGTTATTTTTAGTTATATAAAGGTAAGCAATGACCCAAAGAAAACCAGATCAAGAGCTCAAATCACCTTCCCAAACTCGCTACCGCAAATACCCCTCATTGGTTATGGCTACCCCTTTGTTGTCTGCTTGCTGTTTTTGGGATCAATGGGCGGAGACTGCTACTGGAACATGTGGTGCTGGTGGGGCATGGTCCAATGTTTTTTTTTGTTAGCGATTTCAACGTGCCGTAGAGTCTTGTTCGCGAATCTCGCATCCTCGTTGCAATTCTTCGTAAGTTTGTATCCATCCACTCTCTTCTCCCGAATAGAACACTCGGTCGTGACCACCATTATCTAGACTGAAAGTCGACCCTAACACGGCTATGAAGACCATGCGTTCTATTTACTGGATGGCGATGGCGATGGCTAGCTATCCAGCGCTTGTGTGTTGTGAGCGTGATTTGAACAACACATTTGATGTATAGATGGATGGATGATTGCCGTCATGGTTTGTATGTACGTGTTGTAGATCTGACGCATAGACTGATGGTACCGAATCAGGTCCAAATGACATGTATTGGATTGGAACTGTCGGTGGTTGGTTGTTTCTGGCGTTTTTTTTTTTTTTTGCAGCTTGATCATATGTTCAAGCAAAGGCTAAATGCAAGCTACCCGCATGCGGTTCGCTATGTGAAACAATTTCCCTCTCCAATACTTTCGATGTGGGCCAAGTTCATCTCGTACGTCATGGGCGCATTTGCCGCTGTGATCCTGGGGATAGCTCTCGTAGAAGAGTCTTTGCTCGAAGGTCAGGTGAGTACAAACACTAAACCAGAAGCCCTTGTTGCTCGCTCAACCATGAATGCCTAAGTCTTTCAGATGGTGGGGAAAAAAAAAAAAGAAAAAAAAAAGAGGCTTTCGAATGGTGGGTACAAGAAATCCTACCGAAAGCCCAAACCCGAAAATAAAAAGAGGAGTCTGAATCTTTGATAGCTACTTCACCAAAAATGGATTAACAAATATAAAATATATGAAAAGGAAATTTCAAATTTGCGTATAATATACTGTATATACCAACCCAGACAATCTTTTTTCAAATGGTTTTTTTTTTTTTTTTTTTTTTAATCATACAAACACAAGATTTCGAGTTTTAAATTTTAATCGATATTGGTGGAGTCTTTGTCCGGCTTTGTGCCGCCTTTTTTGTACGCACTATGCATGCTAGGAGTGGGCTTCTGCGCCTGGACCATTTTCTGTGGCGTGGACCATGTTTGGTGGAACGAAGGACCAAAAAATGTGTGATGGCTGGCCGGATTGACTGATTAATAGTGATTATCTATTTTCTCTTGTGTATCGGCACGTCTATACGTCTACTGTCTTCCCCTTATTGGCTCGTCTATACGTCTATATGTCTGTACGTCTATGCGTCTACTGTCTTCCCCCTATCGGCACCCGTCCATACGTCTACACGTCTATTGGCTTCCCCCTATCGGCACGTCCACACGTCTATACGTCTATACGTCTTTCTGGGCCTGGACTAATTTTTGTGGCGTGGATCGAGAACGCTTGACGGCCGGATGGATTGATTGTGCATCGTCTCCAACTGACCTACCCCTACGCGCCTACCGTCTCCCCCCGAGCACACGACACCCTGATTGTGCATGTATGCCAGCTATCTTTCCGGTCCTTGTACTGTCGAAATGAGGGTGCGTTGTGTTCGGGGCGAAGACGGTAGTGGTTTCCAGCCAACGCTGGGTGCAAAATGGCGTCGTTGCGGCCTCAATTGAAGTTGCGGCGCCTTGCAGGCTCGTTGTTGTTTCCTCATTTGCTTCCCCCCCTTTTCTTTTTTTTTTTCCCGCTTTCCTGGTTGTTCCGTCTTTTCCTCGTGAGAGTTAAATGCTGCTAGTTGTCTTCACGAGATTCCAACGCCCGGTAATTGTCTCTGTATCTGGACTGAAAGGTGCCCCAAATACAGCTGTATCAACTGGGTGTGTTCTATTCGGGTGACAATGGTAGTTTGTCTTGGTAACTGACAGTTGCGCGGTTCATTTGCCTCTCTGATGTGTGTCTGTTTTTTTTTTTTTTTTTTTTTTTTTTTTTTTTTTTTTTTTTTTTTTTTTTTTTTTTTTTTTTTCTTTTTTGCGCAATTGATCGTAGATTTATGGCCGGAACCTTGTCTGGTATGGCGCCATCTTTGGAACGGTGCTTGCGATCAGCAGATCACTGATTACAGAAGAATACCAAGTGTTCGACCCTCAGGAGTCCATGGATGTGCTCGCACAGCACACACACTACATGCCAAAGCACTGGCGTGGTGCCGCCGACACTGACGTCGTCAGAGCGGAATTTGAATCACTGTTCCAGGTACGTGGAAGGAACCAGGTTGCGTTCAAGTAACTGCGAGTTAACTGGTACCGTCTTCCGCCAACTATAACTCTGCCTGGTCATTACGGCTGTATTTGATGCAACTATCGGTCCAAATACGGACGTCGTCCGCCAAATGCGATTCGTGGACACCGTCATGCGGACGTCGTTTCATGTATTGGAATCGTGGGTACCATTATATGGACAGCCATTGCTGTTCAGCGGCATCCGTACGACCAGAAACCTCACTATATGGACAGCCATTGCTGTTCAGCGGCATCCGTACGACCAGGAACCTAGCCATTCGTACGACCAGGTTCATACTTTCCAAGCATAAATGACATAGCACCAATGGTAGGAAAGCACGAACCTTGAGGATCCAGACCCCACTGCTGGTAGGTTCACGGTAGAAAAGCAAGAACCTAGCCATTCGTACGACCAGGTTCATACTTCCAAGCATAAATGACATAGCACCAGTGGTGTGCCTCACCTCACGCTTCACCATGATTGATGCGACACCTGACCTGAGCATGAACATAGCTGTTCCTACGACCAGATTCATATTGTGGCATATTCAGGGGCGTGGGTTGCACAGGTATGTACGTAGCTCCTGAAGGGATGTAGAAATGGGGTGTGGTATGGGGTATGAGCCTTTTTTTACCCCTTTTTGTTTTGGAAAAGGGCGACAGCCTTGAGATATGACCCCCCCAAGGAACTGACTCGGGGGGCAACAGTCAGTTCATAGAGATCATATCTCAAGGCTGTCGCCCTTTTCCAAACAAAAAAGGGGTGAAAAAAAGCCCATACCCCATATGACACCCCATTTCTACATCCCTTCAGGAGCTACGTACATACCTGTGTAACCCACACCCCTGAATATGCCACAATATGAACCCATATCTCAAGTGTGATGAAGATCAGGTTGGTTGGTTGATTGATGGGTATGTGGCAATGTGCACACGGGAGACTTTCTCGACATCCGTATGTGATCTTATTAACATCCAAATTCAGTGGGAGGCTAGGCTACCACAGTGGCCCAGGACGACTTGCCTGGCCGTGCCAAAAATAAATAAATAAATAAAAAAATGGTAAAGAATTTCGATGCGACCCTGGCGCAAAAGTTGTT